ACCCCAAAGATCATGGGTATTCATGTCAAACAGATGCAAAATGACAAATACAATATAGTGAATATACTTCTATACATATACGTGTAAACTAAATAACAACAAAATGATGAGATCCAAGTATACTGAGGAGTAGCAAACAAGACCTACTCGTCTCCATCATCATCGCCGCCGAAGATGGAGAACTTGTTGTAAAGAAGGAAGAGTACGAGGAGGAGGACAAGTCCGACGCCGACCGGAGATCCACTGGCACGGTGGATAGAATTAGGTTCACCGGTGGAGAAGATGTTGGAGACGAAAGATCCAGAATCGGAGGAGAGATATTGAATGAGTAACAGGAGGACGATGGGAAGGAGTAAGAGACCTAATGGGCTGAGAAGCTCTGCTATGAACTCCGTCACTGCTTCACCTCCGTCGCCTAGGAACATAGGGATTCCGATCAACACCACCACCACCACCGCGAGTAGTATTCCATAGGGAGCTCCTCTTCTTTCCTCTATCATTTCTGATTTCAATGTGGAGCTAGATGAGATGTGAATGGGGTGGTGTTTGTCTTGAAATAGATATGAATGAATGGTGCTGTTTGAAAAGGACGCGCTTAATAGAAAAATAATCATAAACTGATAAAAAAAAACAAGTATTTTAAAACTATTAAAATGTAACTATATTTGCTTTGTAACTCTTATGTCGATATATAAATTTAGTACAAACGTTTATATACATTTACTTTTTTATAAGATGTATTTTACACGTATTGATCAAACAATCCTCATACCCTAGTATATTGTAGACAAGACATATTTTAGTGGTTGAATTGTCGCAATGATGTGTAATGATGCATTTTTATTTCTACCTTCCATTTTAATATTTGGTTACTTTTCTCATATAATTTTTTTATAAATAATGATGACATTGCATAGTAAAATGCTCTGCTTTCTAGTGGTTACCCACAAGATATAGTCATAAGTCGTGGGACGATATGTAACAAGTTTCTAGGTGATTTTTGTAGGTTGGGTACTTATTATCAGCTTCGACTCTTGTATGATTATTCGTCTTCTTAATAAAGATATTGCGGATGATTTAATGATTTATATGTATAGAAGCTAATGAAATTGTTGGATTAGAATTGAAATTAAATGGATGTAAACATTTGAGATATATAGAAACAAAACTCAAAGATTGAGTTTAACACATCCAATTTAGATGTGAATTTTGGCCGGAAATTAGATACGTCTTTTAGGTTATAGAAAATCTAGGAATTTTGTATTGGGATAATCGTTGAAAATAACTAAAATAGTTGATGTCGTATTACCAAATTATATTTTGAATAATTCTCACAAAATAATCATCGGTTTTGTGAAAATAACTTTCCGACAATAATATTTTATTAAATTGCTTTACAAATTATACCCATAAAAAATGTGCTTAAAAATATGGACAAAAAAATCAATAACAAAATATATACAAATCAAAAAATATATAATCATTTTGAGCCATTCTTTCAATTAAAATCTCTTAAGATATTTAAGGGTAAATATTATAAAAGACCTGATATTTAGTGTTTTTTCCAAGATTAAATATCAATTTTATTTTTTTCTTGAAAAAAATATTTTTAGGTTTCTATTTTTTCAGTTTGACCTTTTTTAGTAGTTTTTTTTTCCCCTGAAAAACTTGTAAAATGCCAACCTTTTCGGGGAAAAAATATAAAACATTGAGGATTTTTTTGAGAAAAAGTCAAGTGGTCGAGGGTTTTTTGGGAATAAAAGAAAAGTTGAGGAGTTTTCGGAAAATATGAAAAATTATAAGCTCTTTTCAGGAAAAAAAATAAAGTTAAGGTTTAATCTCGTAAAAACTCAATATATAAAGTTTTTTTTTATGATATTAGCCTTATTTTTAACTTTTAAATATGTGTAACTTCCGAATAATGTATGTATTATCTTTCATAGTGCGGATTTATAAGTTTAATTGCCCTGCTCACGACGTGAATATTGAATTTTCAAGTCGTGAGGATTAATCCGAACGCGTGCATCATTTAAAAGTCCACGACGTGAGCAGTATAGTGCTCACGACGTGAAGGTGGATGACGACCAAAAACTCTAAGTTTTCGGTATTTAAAGGAATGAGAAGGTTAGAGTTTCTCACCCTCAGTGTCTATCACTCTCTAAGCCTCCAAAAACCTTAATCTTACCTCTCCTTAAGATCTTTTGTCATTTGGGTGCATTTCTAGCTTGTGGGAAGAAGAAAAGAAGAAGAAGGAAGTACTCTAGTGTTGGTGTGGGCAAAGAATCAACATCATCATCATATTTTCTTGCTTTTAGACCCGTGTAAGTATCAAAGGCTCCAAATTTATTGCTTAGCATGTGTAGGTCTAGAGTTTTGTCCATTTTATTGATGTTATTGCTTAATTGAGTGGTGTAGCTCCATAAAGTTGGCAACTTTATGGATTTTAAGAGTCCTAAGAACCTCATAGTGTTTAGATCTAGAAGTTGGTGTAGATTTGAGACATGCATGCAAGTTTTGATGGGTTTTGAGTATAACAACATCCTATGTGATCATGCAATCCTAATTGCTTTGGATCTAAGTTTTTCTTTAGATATACATGCAAATAGAAATTCCAAATCAATAACCCTAATACTAGCATATAATTTTCGAACTCAATATGAAACTAGGGTTAGAATGTTACCTTGCTTGCTATCTAGTAATAACAAGAATTCCACGGATGATCTTGACACTTGAAAGCTTAGTGCCCCAAGTGTTGCACCTCTAATAGAGTCACAAACACCAAAAGCAAAGGACGAGTGAGAGAGGGGCAGAAAATCGGCTAGGGTTTCTCCTTGGGAAGTCGTTAGGGTTCTTTATATAGTTATGTCTCCTAGGGTTTTCAGGTGGAAACCCTAATCCTTGCTTAGGCTCTAAGCAGCCCGTGAACATCCCTTCTGGAAGGCCATGGACGATTTCTATAGGGCCTCCTATAGATTTCGTCCAACACATTCCAAGGGAGTCCAGCAACTCAATTTGCAACTATCAATGATTTACAAAACCAGTCCTCGTCCTTTTAATCAGTTCCTTTAATCCCAAAATTAATTCCAAATTAATTTCTGATTAAATACTAATTAAATAATATGATTTCCAATCAATATATTATTCTTATAATATATTAATAAATCAATAAATAACCTCTTTCTCTAAAAGTCATCATATCAAGTTGTTATGGTGAAGGAAATCCAAAAGAACCATGCTACTATCAAATCAATTATATACCAATTATAGTTATAAGCTTAGACACCTAATCCAACAAGTTTGAAGCCCATTTCTTCCCTTTTTGATCATGTTTGGTGCATGCATGGCCATAAAGGAAGCATTTTTATGGACCTTAGGTGTCCCCTTTAGCTTCTGGAAGAAGTGGACTTGAAGTATTAATGGAATAAGGACTTAAAATGGTGATTTTTAGCCTCGGACAACGCTCACGACGTGGGGTGTGAGATCCCACGATGTGAGAAATGGAGCAGTCCTGTTTCTATTAGGACCCTTGGAGGTCACGACGTGAGAATGGGTGCTCACTTCGTAATTCCAGTTCAGTTGGTTTCTTTGACTGAGTTGACTAGTTTGGGTCGATTCGAATGGGAATCGGATTGGGTTTGTTGTCACGACGTGACCAAGGCCTGGACGTGAGGATAGTTGACTTTAACTTTAACTAAGTTTGACTTTGAGGGTGTTTTGGGTATTTTGGGATTTTGATGGAATTGGTCAATTGGTGGGAATAGATGTCAGTTAGAGAGTTGAGATTTGGAGTCGAGACCTCATCAGCTTCTATTTAGTTTGTTAGGTAAGTTTTCCCTCACTACATTTGCGGATCGAAGGGACTAATGCTGGCCCTTTGGATTGATATCATGTTATGCATGCTATTGTTTGTAGTTATTTGTTAGATTGGTATCCTGTTATATACGATGTTGTTATGCTTAGTGATCAGTTGATCTGTCTATTGTTTGTTGGCTGACTATATGTTTATTTGTTATGTATATGTGCACATATTTGGTTGATGGATGACGCTTCACTGCTTTGTGCGTAAGCCAACAGACCGGGGGATTCCAACCCGATGGTTGAAGGACTTAGGGTATTCCAACCTGATGGTTAACTGAACCCATAGTGTATTGACATTCCAAGATGATGGTTGAGGGGCCTGGGGTATTCCAACCTGATGGTTGATTGGACCCAACATGTTGTTTGTTATTGTATATGTTATTTGCTTGTGTTGGTACTTTGGGGGATCTTACTAAGCGTTGGCTTACAATTTTGTGTTATGTTTCAGGTACTACGCATGATCGCGGGAATGCGAAGACGTGACCGTACACATTCTCATGTCTTGACTTACGATTTTGGGAGACTCTAATGTTTAAAAATTTTAAATTTTCACGATTTTTATGAGTGTTACATTAATGTTTTTTTTTTTTAACAACAAATAATATATATATCTAATCCATTCATTTTACTTCCTAGTGCCTAAGAATTTAAAAACCACAATAAAGACATGGAAACAATAATCCTAACTAGTCGGTAAGTATTATCCGAATCATAGCTACTAACATCCAACATATATTATTCTCATTTTCATTTATTATATGGCAGACTTAGCAAGAATTATCAACACCAATAAGTTAGAACCTCATATTACATTAAAAGAGTTTACAAGTTTACTGCTAATAAAAGAAAGATGTCTTAATTTGAAGAGTTAGCACAAGTAGGGTTGGGTTGATATTTTTGGGGCTATACAATTTATTAACTTTAGTCCCTGAACACTAGTAAATTTCAGAAAAATACAAAAAGTTTATTCCGGTTTTTTTATTTTATTTTATAATATATCAATAACAAATGTTTTCATTCAAAATAGATTACAAATCTCTCTCTCTCGATCGTTTAATTTCGATTTTACTTGTTTTTGGTAGCAAAATCAAAGAAAGAAAGCACATATCTATAAATGCACGACATTCGACAAAAAGTCTAGCAAAAAAAAAAAAAAAAAAAAAAACTCGGTTTACACAAGCAAGAAAGCCATACCCTTTGAAATTAAGCAAGCAAGTAAATGGGCCAAAAAATACACAAAAAACAAAATGCAAAATTTAACAGATATATGCTTAGAATCTGTTATATCACTGACTCTGTTGTAATCCCAGAACTTGTGCTCTCCAAATCCACAGAACCCATTCCCGTATCTTCTTCCACCTCACTGTCTTCATCACCACTAATCTCTGCATTATCCCTCCCAAGTTTAGCCATCTGCTCTGCCAGCAGTTTGTCCTCCCTTTCACTCACCTTAACCAACATCAAATCAAATATCGTTTTAACTTTTAAATTAATATAATTAAAAAAAAAAAATAAGATTAAACATAATGCTTACTGCCCGAGGTGACTCTTTTATGGTAAGTTTCCCTTTATGACGCTCTATTGCAGCACCACAAGCAGCAATCGCTTCTGTAAGAATCTTTATCCCTTGTTCCTGTTATTTACAACATAACAAAAATTATAATCACCAAATTTGTGTTTTATTATTATGGCAGAGTTACCTTGTCAAGAGTCTGTGTATTAAGAACATAAGCTGGTGGAGCAACCAATTTTATTTTCACTGGACACTCTTTAGTGCCAACTGCTTCAGCTTGTCTCATGGCTTCCTGTTACCACAAAAACAAAATTTTGCATTCTTTATTATGGATATTAAAAAAAAAAAAAAAAAAAAAAAAAAAAAAAAAAGAGTATGACACCTTGATGTGGAGGACACCATCAAATTGGAAACATTTCATTTCAATATCAGCCCGGATTTTCAATGGTTGTGGGGTCATTCGTCTTCTGATGTTTCTAACCAAAGCATCTTTCACATCCTCTGAAAGGGCAGGAACGACTTTACTCACCTACAAAATCAATGGGAAAGCCTAAGTTTACCAAAAACAGCATGGGCAAAAGCGTCAATTTGTAGAATTACCTCTTTTCCATCTGGACCAATGTGTTTGACTTCACGTGTGAGGGACTTGAGCACGGAATCAGGGTCGTTAACTATTGATTTGAAAGCCTGGATAAAGAGAAAGCATTGTGAAAAAATAATAATAATAATAATAATAATAATAATAATAATAATAAAAGTTTGAAAGTGAACAAGATCAAAAATTCAAACCTCAAATGCATGCCCATATTTTCTGTACAAAGGCCAGCCAACATGGATGTATAAATCCTGTCATAGATAACTTGTAGTTCATAAGAAGCCCCTACGCAGAATAAAAGACCTACACATCAATACTAAACACTGACTTTTTTTACTATGCTTTGCTATCTATAAACCTTATATAACATATAGATAGTGTTTCAGTCAATATAAATTCTAACACAATTATGACAGAATTAGGAAAGTTGCAGGAAATGTATACAGTTTCCTTCATTGTGAAGTCATCAAAACGCGATAAGATAATCCAGCATATCAAATCTTATAACTAGATATTGCAACAACGAAGATGAGGTCAAAACTGGTAGCATCAGCTCATCATGCCTATCCTAAAAGTTTCTATACAGAAATTTATTCATGCAGAGTACTTACAATCATATGCATAAGGATTTGAAAGAAAAAAAGTTCAACAAAGTGAATTTGATGCACATTTGGTAAGTAAAATATTATAGATCAAGTCTCTATAAGCTGCCTTACACCCAAATCACCCTGCATTACAACCTAAAACAATTCTTCTATCTAAGCCTGCTTATACCAATTTTCAACTCCTAAAAATATGTATGTAAGTTTATTAATCAGTACTACTTTTAACTTTTGTTTTGTGTCATCACTTTTAGGTTCGTTTGTTTTTTTATCCAAACAGCAATAATTTTCGTAATATACTACTCATATTAGTATGCATCGTCATGAGTAAACGACTAGTAATCTGGAATGCACGAGCATATAATTCAAAACCTACCTCGAGATCAACATTCATAGTCTCCGCAACATGGCGCATGATGGAGTGCACAAGCTTGCTCTTACTATACCTCTCTTCGCAGATTTGAACATCCTGTTCCGATAACCTCTTTTTACTCAAATCAATATAACCTTTCTCAGCATTAACACGAAGCACCATAGCAGGTTCGATGCGGCCTACTTTGATTAAGCTGCCAACACTTCGAATACGGCGGCGAGAGAGATCCGATAAGAGGATCATCCCTTCGATGTTGTTGTATTCAAGGAGTGAGACATGAGTAGCAACATCTCCGATTTCCTTGACCTGGATCATCACTGGCGTGTCAACCTCCGGGAACTTGGCTTCATACATGCGGCAATCGAAATTTGGGGGTGATGCTGTTGACATCGTTGAATGGGGTTTCTTGAAGATTTTAGGGGTTTTGGCTATGGCCTATGGGTTTCGATTTGAGATTGAACTTGAATGAACAAAATTGCTTTTATAGTGGAAAATAATGTTGTCACGGTTTTGTAATTTGTTCAGGCCTTTTTGATTGTTGATAGATTATCGAACGTTGTATTAACTATTAAATTGATAATATTATAGATAAAAATAAAATAATATGTTAAAATAACAACTTTTATTAATTACTTTACTAAAATTTTTTGGCAAAAATACTGAATTTTCGGAAATAATCACACGGCAAAATAGGTCGGTTATGGTCCCAAATATTTAAACCAAAACATTCATAGGAGTTTATTTTATTTCAACTCTTGATGGTTGAAGAGTACAAATGTCTGCGAACCACAGAAGATGTGGACCAAATATCTGTAGTCTGCAGTGAGAAGAATATTTGTTTTTAACGTCTACACCTGTTGAAATAAATTAAATTTTCAAACTTAATTTCACGTCATAAACATTAAAAATACATTTTCAGAAAGAAAAAAAAAACTGTTGGTATATATATATATATATATATATATATATATATATATATATATATATATATATATATATATAAACATTAAAATGAAGTCTGAAGATCTTTGAATACAGTGACCTATGTTTGCATTAGGAAGACCTCGTTTGTTATCTGCGCACTTCAAAAAAAAAACATTATGCGAAAGCGTATGTCTGTGCGTTGTCTACGCAGCGCAGACAAAAGATGTTGCACAGATATTCACAATAAAATAAAATAAATAAATAAAAATACCGGCTCTATGACAAGTTTTTCTCATTTTTTCCCTACCACGTCATCATTTCTCTCACTAAAACCTAAAGAAAGGATGAGAAGCTTCTCTTGTTATTTTTTTTATTATTTAAATAAAATTAATTCATTTTTATGATTTATAAATTTTAAATTAATAATAAACATAAAACTTAATTAAAAATAAAAAGCATTTCATTAATTAAAATAAAAATTGCATTAAACCTAATATATAAATAAGTAGAAATTAAAAACAAAAAAACAAACCACAACATAGAAAACATAATTAATATCCTAAAAAAAAAAAAAAAAAAAAAAAAAAAAGAAAACCAAAAACCAAAAAAATCACTCGGAATCATCGTCCTCATCATCGACCTCATAGTCTTCATCATTCTCCTGAACGGCACCCTCGTCATCGGAATCTTGGCTCTCGACGAACATATCAAAATCATCGTCTGATTTGTCAAACAAATCATCGTAACAATACTCTATTGGTGGCTGAATATGAGTCATATAAACGTGCTCCACCAAATCAGCACGAAGGGCGTGATGAATGTCGTGATTGTGTAATTCTCTTCTATTTGCCTTATACTCTTGTGTACCAATGACTACTCATTCGACATTTGGCAAAACTTCATTTTCTTTGCACTGACATATCGTTCTTCATTCGTCTTCAAGAATCATATTATGTAATATGATACATACATACATTACGTGTTGTAATCTTCTCACTTCATATGACCTTGTCCCGACTACTAGTACTTGTCACCTGCACCAAGATGATTCTCTCCAGCTAAGGAGAACCATCTCAGATCTATCAGTCGATCTAACTTGATCGTCGGAGTCCGCTCCTGGGGCACAGTTCCTGGGATGGCTTTAACACATCTCTCTGATTGTGACTAGCAGATCCCCGCCGCCGCAGAAGACCCAGAAGACTCGTCGGAGTTCGATGTCACATCAATATATATATATATATATACATATATATATATAACCGTTGGAACAAAACAAAATTGATCCCCAATCGGAACAGGAGTGAGAATGAGGCAAACCCACCCCCACCTCCTCCCCGCGCATTGCTTCCCGCACCCCCGGTGCGGTGTTCATCGTAGCGGGAAAGGCCCCGCCCCCCTTCAATAGTCTAATAAAATTTACAAAGCTCACATGTATTGTATTTGTTTTAATGATAATTACTTGACTCATAAATACTATTTTTATTTTGGGGTGCTATTAGGGAAGCAAATGAGACTTTGCAAAACTATCATCAATTATCCTTGTAACCCCTCATTTATGGTATGTGATATAAAAATCAAATTTATTATTTAAGTTTTAATAAACTTGTAATTAGATACACGTAAAACTACACTCCCTTTGTTACACACTTATAAATCATGTAGCTTACAACCCCCATGTGAGTCATTTACGCACCCTGAACATATTTTGCCAATCACAATCCACAAATCAATTGCTTAAAACATACATGTTTGTGGATGAAAGGATTACAAAACTTTTTAAGGCACGAAAGTGGGTGATAGACGATTCTACATGATTTCTTCCAACCCATAGCTCTGTCTTTTGGGAGCATTGTATGAAGCGGTAGATAGGAGATGGTCAAACAACATAGTAAGAACGGATTACTTAGTGGAAGTAACAACTCTTATTATTCAATCCTCTACATTCACCTATTGTTTTATCCATAACATCTTATGATATATATTAATGGGAAATTGAGTAATCTACCTATTTTTTTGGGTTTTATATATATATATATATATATATATATATATATATATATATATATATATATATATATATATATATATATATATATATATATATAAAATTGCAAAATAACTATATATTCATAAATGGGTCGTTCCGAAACGTATTTTGGATTATTTTTGGGTAGCCCGGCCCATTGCATTGGATGCGGAATGTATATTCCGGATCAACCATGTATGTTTCGGATTGAGATTTTGAATTTAAAAATCTGTCACACGCCAAAACCGAGAACGGCGGAAATGTTCTGGGGCGGAAGACGTCATGTGATGTATCACAACACAATAATAGTAAACAAGCAAACAACATCATCCAATGCATTAAATATATAATTTTAATACAAGTGTGTTCTGTACAGTTATAAACACCAAAAATAATGTAAATCAAAATAAAGAGATGAGTCCTGAATGCGCTCCATCTTCTCAAAAGCTGGTCTCGGTACCTGTCTACTGATGACCTGAGAATACAAGTTATTTTGAAAGGGTTTATCAGCATAAAGCTGGTGAGTTCATAAGTATTTTAGTGTCGGTGTTTGTTATCAAAACGTTTGAACATGTCTCTAGTGTAAGTTTGTAAAATGTATGTAACTGTTTGGAAAATGTATGTAAATGTTTGTAAGCGTTTGTAAAAGTTTGAATCTCTCAGAAAAACCTATATTTTCTATAAAATTAGCCTTCTACCAAGGCGTAACTGTTTTGTATGTTTGTTTATCGTAAGTGTGTGTAATTTTCCAAGTGTAACTATCATTATCAAAATATAGTTTATACATTACCGTTTAAGTGAAATAGTCACTAAATGTATATAAAGGATAAATTACTGTAGTATTGTAGTATTGTATTATAAGAACTACTGTTGTACTAACTACCTTAAACCGGATTTATATTAAGGTATCATGTGATTAATTGTACCATACTATCGACTGAGTAACAACGACAATTGAATGGTCGTAAAATGGTATGACGTTTGGCACCCGCAGACCTGCAGGTTCGGCTGTAGCTAGCAGCAAGGTGTAGGATAGTCAATCCAGTATAGATCTATACGCAAACTCGCGCTCTCCCTCCAAGAGAATTCTGGTTACAACTCGGGTCATGACATTTAAGGCATACCCGATACAGTGGATCACATTTATGTAAGTGTATGTATGTATATGTAATGTATTGTTCCTGTTCTAGTATCGTTGTATATGTTCTCTTCCTAGTATAGTTGTATATGTTCCTCTCTAGTATAGTTGTATGTGTTCTTCTATAGTATAGTTGTATATGTTCTTCTCTAGTATAGTTGTATATGTTTTCATAGTAATGTAATGTAATGTTATGACTCATGAATGAACTGACTCATTGATCTAGCAACAGCGTAAATGTAATCTTGTGTTACCCCGATGGTAACTTACTAATGATGTAACTGATACGCATGAATAATGGAAGTACTTTTATGTCTATATATGCACACATGGTATATAATTAATATTGAAACGACCCTCGTACAGCTACCCGACATCCCACCAGACCACATCCAAATCGAGGAAAAGGAAATAGGGCGGATGGCCTTCCTAAGCCTTTTAAACATTTCTTTTATATATATATATATATATATATATATATATATATATATATATATATATGCATATATGGACATGCAGTTTATAAGAAGTATAATAAAGTTTAAATAAAAGTATTTGATAAGTAAAAGAGTTTGTAAAACATTTTGAAGTAAAACAGTTTGATAAACATTTTGAAACAATGATGAAATCATTGGTTTTGTAGTTATTAATCACATGTGATTGATGTAATAACTATAAGTATTCAACTTGTATTCCCCCCTCCCCCCCCCCCCCAATAAAAGTATTTCAAAGGTTAATTAAAGGGGTATAAACTCACCTGTAGTGAGTGGTTCTGATGACAAAGTTGGATTTGATGCTAGGTGTCAAGTGGTGACTTGAGTACACACGCGAAGCCTATTTAGCATATATTGGCACATGTATGGATATAATTAGTGTTATGAACAACTAATTGATGATTTTGGGACCATTATAGGGACTAGTAAACACTTATAATGAAGTGTTATAATCGTATATGATTGTATGAGGGTTTATAAGGCTATACAAGAGGGTGTATAGCCAAATTACACACTATAAGTGTGTGTGCGGCCAGGTGTGCGGCCTAGTGTGCTGCCAGAGGGTGTGTGCTGCCATGTGTGCGGCCAGATGGTGTTCTTGGTGGTCTTGGTACCTTTTTATGAAGATCTTCAAGGAGAATGGATGATACTTGAGAGGATTTCGTGTTCTATGCTTGAAGAAATGAAGGAAGTGTTCAAAAATGATTCAATTGTGGTATAAATAGGTGGAGTGTGCGGTTGGGAAAGGTGTGAGGCCGCAAACAAGAGTGTGTGGCCACACACTCAAGTGTGTAGCCGCACACTCCATGTGTTTGAGTGTTTGGCCCGGTTTTGATTCCTACACTTCGAGTTAACCCTTTTTAACACTCCTACCTTGATTATATCACATTTAGGATGCTTCATTAGACTTTAAAGGGTACTACGATATAGTAAAATAAGTCTAATATTGGAAAGAATTGAAGGGTGTATGCGAGAAGTTTTTCGGGTTGTCACAAAATCCGAAATATAATTTAAGGTAACGATTTGATTCCGAAAAGGTGCATTTCGATTCCAACGTTCCGACTCATTCTGACATGCAACTCTCATCTTCGACACGCGTCTCCGATCTCCGACATGGAAGACAAACACTACGATCCCGTTATTTTACGGGTACGTTCTTCATATTCTCTTTACATAATTTCTTGTTTGTTTAAGGTTTCTATTTTTCTACTTTTATTGCTCCGAAATTCGTAGACCACCTCTGAAATGATCTGAAAACGTTCCAGAGTTTAAATTAAAGATGTCATTGTTGTAGGACCAAGTAAGGAACATATTGGAGGTAGGATCATATCGGAGGTAGGGTCCGTTTGGTATATGTGACATCCCCATTTTCATGGTCAGAAAAGACTGATTTTGTTTATGTTTTTTAAAAATCAGAGTACATCTTTTAATAAAAATGTTGCGGAATTTGTTCCCAGTAAACACATGATAAATACGTTATCAAGGCATTTCCGAAGAAAATTATTTTTATTCATTTTAAAACATTTGGGATGTCATCGTCAATACAGTAACATAAACATAAATAGAACTTACATTCATTGTCACTAGTGATTTATATCTCTTTAATTTCTCATTGTAATGTGACTTCATATCAACACCTGTGATATAAATAAACTGAGTGGGTCAGGTTGGGAAACCTAGTGAGTACATAAGGTTTTCAACCCACAATAATATAATTATTATGTTTAAACATGAAACAATCAACCCAATTACCCATGCCCATTATCTTCTTAAGGATTTACCCTAAGAATCAGCTACTCCTCGTTCATTCATTCCTAAGGATCATCATAAGGAAATGACACGAAGTCCATTGTTGCCAATGACACAGTTGTCAAGCACAACTGTTAATATTATCACTTAGGCGCAACTGCCAGAATTGTGACATTCTCTATGAGGCGCTTCTGTCGTTATTGTCCTTTAAACGCTACTGTCATGGTTATAATGTTCTCTATTAGGCACAACTGCTGATACTATCCTTAGAGCACAACTGTTAGGATGTTTATCGTGGATCTAAAACATCTACAGATTTTGGCGCAGCTGCTAGTGCGCATCTATAGGGTACTATGTCCATTGTTGTCAATGTTTACCTATAGGGCACTAGGTCCATACTACTAATGTTCCTCTATTTTAGCCTTCATCCCTCATAATTCGTCTACCCATGTTTTACCCAACATATTTGTAGATATAAAATACATATACAATTTAAATCATTTAAAACATGTATAAAATCGTTCATCCAACATAGACAACAAGTATTCAGATAATATGCACACATAACACATAATTTATATAAAATACTTCACATCTATGTGTAAGATGAAAGTAACTATGCACTCACACGTTAAGGTGGTGATTCCGAACTTAGACAACGCTTCGTTATTCTTAACACAATTTCCTTCGTCAAAACCTAGTATCATTACCACTAGGGTTTACTCTTATCATTCACCGAGACTAATTAATAGTCTAGCTATTATTACTATTATAAAAGTGTTAAACAATACTTATATAACCCATAATAATAGCCCAAGTAGTTATTATAACTTCCTAATAACGTTACTATAATTAAATAAAAGCTATATTAACAATAGCGTAGACGTAGCTCACTTACAACGGTTTTTATAGAAAACCGGGATTCGCTTGGAGCAGCGTTTATGAGTCGAGGGCTCTTCTTTTCA